CATACAGAGTGGTTTCACGGCCCCAAAAATCCCCTGTGCTCTGCCTATTCATCTCCCTCCCCCTAACCCCTGGCAACCACTGATCTTTTTACTGTCTCCATAGTTTTGCCTTTCCTAGAATGTCATTTACAGTCATGCACCACATAATGACATTTCAGTCAACAACGGATCACATACACAATGGTGGTCCCGTAAGATTAGTATCGTGGAGCCTCGGTGTGGAGTGGGCTGTACCATCTAGGTGTGTGTAAGTTCACACTGTGATGTTCGCACAATGACGAAATCGCCTGACGATGCATTTCTCAGAGTGTATCCCCGTCGTTCAGTGACACACGACTGTAGTTGGAATCATATGGTGCTCAGCCTTTTCAGACTGGCTGCTTTCACTTCATAATATGCATTTAAGGTTCCTTCATGTCTTTTCATGACTTGATAGCTCATTTCTTTTTAGCGCTGAGTAATATTCCGTTGTGTGGATGTACCACAGTTTATCCATTCACCTATTGAAAGACGTCTTAGTAGCTTCCAATTTGGGGCAATTATGAATCAAGTTGCTATAAACATCTGTGTGCTGTTTTCTGTGCAGTCGTAAGTTTTCAACTCACTTGGGTAAATACTGAGAAGGCGATTGCTTGATGTGTTTCATGTAGAATTTTTAGGGTGACTTGCAAAGATTTTGGCCAGTGACTTCAATCAGAATTTTTTTTATTGAGGTGTAGCATACATAAAGTATACTAATCTTAAGTGTACGGTTCAATGATTTGTTACACGTGTACACACGAGATCAAGATATGGGGCATCTCCAGCCCCCAGAAGGCTCCCTTGTGCACCTTCCCAGTCACCGCCCCCTCAGCCATCCCCAGAGATAACACTTCCCTGACTTCTAGCACAATCCGTTGGTTCTGAAGCTTTTGAGTGCAGATTTTTTTTAGGGGGAAGGGACCAGGAGTGGCAGCTTGCTTCATTTTGATTTGTTTTGAATGGAGACTAATTTCATCACCAAATTGTTCCTGCCACTCTGCAGCAGGGTTGGCACACGTGCTGGGTAAATATTTTTGGCTTGGCAGGCCAGCGCATGAGTGAGCATGGATGCATTCCAATAAAACTTGACTTACAGAAACAAGAAGTGGGCCAGATCCGGCCTTGGGGGGAGTGTGTGAATCCAGTGTAGGGCAGTGCTGTTCCTCCGTCACATTCACGTCCAGGCCCCACTCCACATCTCAACCTGCATGTCCTGGGACGGGCAGCCTTGTGCGCATTTTAAGGCCTCCTCGGGTGACTTTCATGCACCTCCCAGGCTGAGAACCTTCTGCATTTCCCTCCAAGGAGGAAGATAATAGGTGTCCTGGGGCTCACAACTGTGCAAGTGGATTCGAACTTAAACAAAAGCCCATCAAGACTCTCCCACCTTGACAACACACTTGAAGTAATTTCATTTCCCCCTTTCACCGTCTCTCTTTCCTCCGCCTCCCCTTGAGCTAACAGGCTTCCACCTGGCTGGGTGGAGGCGAGTGTTGGATGCAGAAGGGAAAAAGTCGAGGGATGAGGGAGGTTCTTCAATGAAAGCGGAGTAGGGGGATGCGGAGCCATCAGGACTCGGGGGGATCCCTGCAGAGATGAAGACCTGCCCCCGGGAGTCAGAGAGAGAAAGTTGTGGTCAGAGGGGGAATTTTACAGTTTGGCTCCTTGGAGGTGGAGCAGTTTCGAGTGACTGAGGGCTGAGATAACGACAGCTGTTCACAATTACTGAGCGTGGTCTGGGTTTCAAGCACTTTATACACGCTGCCTGCACTTGGTCTCTTTAATACCCTAGGAAGTGGTGCCTGCTGGCGCTCCCATTTCACAGAAGTGGAGACTGATGTGTCGAGAGGTTATGTAGTTTAGGGAAAGGCCACGGAGCTTCTCAGAGGATTTTAACCCTGGCAGCCTGGCACCTCTGTATGGTTCACCTCTCGAGGGGTGACCAGGTGGGCTCCTGGGAGGGTGGCATGGGAAGCCAGTGGCTTTGAGAAGTGGAGGTGACTGTTGGTGTGTTTGTGTGTGCTCTGCGGCTTCAAAGGTGGCAGGAGAGAATGCTGGGTGGACGGAGGACCCCATGGCAGGGAAGGGTTGACAGGCGTCAGCCATGGCCTTCACAACTCTTAAAAACTAGAAAACTGGGCCTGGCCCGGTGGCATAGCGGTTAAGTTCGCACGCTCTGCGTCGGCAGCCCAGGGTTCGCAGGTTTGGATCCCAGGCACAGACCTACGCACCGCTTATCAAGCCATGCTGTGGCTGCGTCCCACATATAAAGTAGAGGAAGATGGGCACGGGTGTTAGCCCAGGGCCAATCTGCCTCAGCAAAAAGAGGAGGATTGGCAACAGATGTTAGCACAGGGCTAATCGTCCTTACCAGAAAAATAAAACAAACAAAAACCAAAAACTAGAAAACTGATCTGAAACCACATTCGTGTTACCTGGGGACACAGGGTGTGCAAACTCCAGAGGTGAACTGAATGAGGGTTTGGAAGGTTGCCCAGAGAGCATCCTGCATAAAACAGGATTGCAATATTTGAAAGTGCAATAGGCATCCTTTTCTACTTGCTTTGGCTTTTGTTTGAATAATAATAATAATCCCTTCCATTACAAGGTAAGGAAACAGTGAGTGAACCAGGACCCAATTCAGCAGAACCTTCCAACAAATGGAATTTTTTCTGCATTTTCTTTCAGGAAACCACAGCCAAAAAAAGAAAAAGTGGGTGGGCAGGGGATTTATTCGAATGCATTAACTTCCAGGTTTTACCCTGGATCAGCGCACAGTGGGGTCTCTTACATCTTTTAAGTCTATATTGTTCTACAAAGACAACAGTTGTTCCCAGTGATCCTTAACAGGACTCGATTACAAGGTTCGACACAATATTTGTGGGGAATCTTAAATGCCAGGAGCTATCAGGGACATAAAATGATCTAAAACATGGTTTCTGCCCTTGAAGAACTTTCAGTTATCGCAAGAGGACTTATTTATCTTGAGGGCAAAGGGGCAAAATTGCATTAAGTCAGTTAGTTGAAAGATCCTCAATAAGATTTAAGGCAAAAAGGGTATAAGAGGGCCGGCCCTGTGGCGTAGTGGTTAAGTTAAGCACGCTCCCCTTCAGTGGCCCGGATTCTCGGGTTCAGATCCTGGGCGTGGACCTACACCACTGGTCAAGCCATGCTGTGGCAGTGACCCACATACAAAATAGAGGAAGACTGGCACAGATGTTAGCTCAGGGCTAATCTTCTTCAAGCAAAAACAACAAAAAAAACGAAAAGGTATAAGAGACTCCCAAGCGTCTTATCTTCTGGAACATTCCAGATTTAGAAGTTCTACGTGATCATGTCAAATTCACTTCCCAGGCAGGCTTTTCATCCAAGCCGCCAGGAGAGCTCAGCGTCTGAAAAGGATGGGTGAGAAGCGTTCTGGCAAATAGTTGGTGTTTGGGCCCAGCCTCTCTTTCTTTGGAACATCAGGAGTAAATGCAGAAGTCACTATAAATTCTGCTTCTGAACCTTAGTTCACATTCCCTCGGGATTCAGAAACTACATAGTTTTTTTTATTTTTATTTTTTGTGAGGAAGATCAGCCCTGAGCTAACATCTGCCAATCCTCCTCTTTTTGCTGAGGAAGACCGGCCCTGGGCTAACATCTGTGATCTTTGTCCACTTTATGTGGGACGCCACCACAGCATGGCCTGACAAGTGGTGCGTCGGTGCGCGCCCGGGATCTGAACCCCGGGCTGCCAGCAGCGGAGCGCACGCACTTAACCGCTATGCCACAGGGCCGGCCCCAAAACTGCACAGCTCTATAGGAGCCCAGTTTGCTTACTCTGACTGTGCTCCTTCTTGGGAAGAACAAGCAGGCTCGTCCCTCTGCAGGTCTGCTGGCTACCTCTGATCACCCCAGAGGATGCAAGTTGGTGGCTTGAGGGCCAGTGCAAAACAGCCTGCAATATTGTATTAATGTGATTAGTCACCATCATTTAAAAATCAGATTTCCCATCACAAGTCTGGATTTCTGGCTTCTCGTGAAAACATCGGATCAGCAGTACTGGGTGAGGTTTAGCTGAGCAGAGTCGCCTCCCGTGGAGGGAAGCCAGCTCCTCCCTCTCTTCCTCCCTACCGCTGGCGTGGCACTTCACTTGCCATCAGTCATCGGGCTTGCACTGTTGCTTTCTTGTAGTTAAGTGTTTCTCTCACCCTGTGCTCTACCGAAGTGGATGCCAAAGAAAGAAAGAGAAAGCTCTGACTGGCCAGTGTCATCCACCACCATCACCTGCCTGGCCCCTATAGGCATTCGTTATCTGTCTGATCAAGATGCATGGGTGACCCTTGTTACTGATTGTCCCTTGGGTCTCGTGTCTTTCAGACTTTTTTTTTTTTAAAGCAATTGATGTAGGATGAGTGCATTCCCCTTGGTCCTGTCTCTTCTTTTGTGTCTACAGGCACAGTGAACAAGAAGCCTCTTCCCCTAGATTAAATTTCATCATTCAAGTGCCACTCATTATGAGCAACTGTGAGTTAGACCCACTGTTGTACGTCATGGTCATTTCCTTCTATCCAGGAACATGTGTTCCCCAATGACATGGGACTGCACCCGTGGGTGCACGCAGACCCACCGCTCAGTCACCGGCGGAATAACCCAAACTTTACCTTTGGGGAACTGGTCATTATCACTGCGTGGTGGGAAGGCATGATCTCGGTCACGTTTCGCTTCAAAGGTGACTGAGTTTTAAAGAGGGCAAGTGATATTTGGAATTAAATTAGGGGAAAGTACTGGATTCTTCGAGAGAGGGGAAAAAAAAATGCTGGTGTCATCATGACTGTCGTGGGCCTCCTGACTTAATGATGTGTCCTCAGGGCTGCAGCCTGGCCAAGTTTGGGCTCGACACGCCAAGTTTGGGGAACGTGGCAAGTCGGAGACCTGGGGTGACGTCAGCGACTGCCCTTGGCCCTGGAGTGAGGGGCTTCTGGGTTCTTCCCTAGGCACCCCTTGGTCACCTTTTTCCACCTGTTTTTCCGAGTGAGTGCCATCGTCACCTATGTGTGCTGTGACTGGTTCAGCAGAAGCTTCGTGGGCTGTTTTGTCACTGTGCTGCTCCTCCTGTCTTTCGACTTCTGGTCTGTGAAGGTAAGGCCCCCTCACCTGTGATGCCGTTGCTCCCAAAACACGTGGGCTGCGTTTCCCAGTGGTGACATTCCTGATGCATGTGGCTGATTTGGGCCAAGAGCTACTTTGGTTTAAACTGCTGATACATACTTAAGAATACTAATGGGGGCCGGCCCTGTGGCATAGTGGTTAAAAGTTCGGCACGCTCTGCTTCGGCGGCCCGGGTTTGCAGGTTCGGATCCTGGGCGTGGACATACACCACTCGTCGGCCATGCTGTGGAGGTGACCCACGAACAAAATAGAGGAAGATTGGCACAGATGTTAGCCCAGGGACAATCTTCCTCAAGCAAAGAAAAAAGAGGAAGATTGGCAACAGATGTTACTTCAGGGCCAGTCTTCCTCAGCAAAAAAAAAAAAAAAAAAAAACTGAGCCAGCATCACTTAAAAGTAGAGAAAAAATACATTGTTTAGTGTTGAACAAATGGCTTCTGGGTATCAATTGTCATGGTTGCAAATGTGTACCGTATGAGGGTGACAACTCCATACGGCTTTGGATTTTTTGTAAGATTTACATATATGTTTAAAAGTTCTATATTTGGGCTTGAAACACACAAGGGGGTTGTCTGTCACTTTTTAAAATAAGCTTGGTTAAAAATCAGAAGCCTTGAAAACTGATTTTGGGAAACCACACAGTTCAATCCCTCTCTCCTCCTGCTCCCAGTACCAGTTCACCATGAGTTGGTGACTTGCATTTTATTCACCGGAGAAAAGACCATGACCCTCTCTTTACCTGTGGCATGCTTAGAATCATCTTGTCCATCTTCCTCAGAACGTAACCGGAAGACTCATGGTGGGCCTTCGCTGGTGGAACCAGATAGATGAAGATGGGAAAAGCCACTGGATTTTTGAAGCCGGAAAGGTATTCTCCACTACGAGTCATCACGCTAGAACCAGGAAAATGGCTGTGGGAAGTTTCCGTGGGTTCCTCTTGGGCTTCGTGCAGATGTGATCCCGCCCCACACGACGCCCACTGCTGCCGGCGCTCCGCTCCAGGGCGCGGGTGGCAGAAGCACACGTGCAATACACGAAGATGGTAGCATGCTGCTTTGCAACCCTTTTCACTAGTTTTGAAAACAGAACCACCTTCCCGCCACAGGTCTCTCCACATAACGTGGCGGCCACAGAAGCTGAAGCACGGGTCTTCTGGCTTGGCCTTGTCATCTGCCCGGTGATTTGGATCGTGTTCTTCTTTAGCGCCTTATTTTCCTTGAAGCTCAAGTGGCTGGTAAGGCAATACCTTGACTCTGACGTTGCTGTGACATCTGTACAGAACTGCTGCTGGCAGGAGTGGGTTTTTATTATTTACGGATTGATCAATTGATTCAAATAGCTTCATGGAGATAAGTCACAAACTAGGCAATTCACCATTTAGTGTGTACAATTCAGTGGTTTCTAGTATATTCACGGAGTTGTGCAACCATCACCATAGTCAATTTTAGGATATTTTCATCACACCGAAAAGAAGCCCTGTACCCTTTAGCCATCACCCATTCCCTCCACCTCCATGCTCCTGTTCCCCCAGGCCCAGCTCCCACTAATCTTTCTGTTTCTATAGATTTGCCTATTCCGGACATTTCCTATAAATGGAATCATATATGTGGTCTTTTGTGACTGACTTCTTTCACATAACATAATGTTTTCAAGGTTCCTCTGTGTTGGAGCAGGTATCAGTACTTCTTTTTTGTGGCTGAATACTATTCCATTGGATGGACAGGCCACATTGTGTTTATCCACTCATCCACTAATGGACATTTGGGCAGTTTCCACCTTTTGGCTCATCTGAGTAATGCTGCTAAGAGAGGGTTTCTACAAAAAGCGTATAACATCCTACCTTGGACAGGGAGCCCTTCCCAGGGAGCCCTTCCCTTCCCTCACCTCAGAGTTCTGAAGTTTTATTTCAGGGTTATCATATTTCATTGCCATGATCTTGCTCATTGAAGAGAAAACAAAGTATCCAGAGACAGTATATAAACAACAGTGTAATTAAAAGTGTGGGCTGGGCTCTGGAGTTTGGCTCCCGGCTCCACCACACATCAGCTCTGTGACCTTGGGCAACTTCAGTTTCTCTGCACTTCAATTTCCTCCCTGTAGAATGGGATGGGAATGGCACCAGCCTCTTGGGTTGTTGATGATTAAAAAGTGTCCACGAGTGTTGTAACAGCCACCTCAATAAAGGGTGGCTGTTACTAGTAGGTGTAGGCCAGAGCCCCTTCCACTTGGTTTGGGAGGAACGTTTCAACATATGCTCTTAGAAAAATGACCTCTGCTTTGTCTGAGCGCAGGCCCTCGTGATAGCTGGGATTTCTCTCCAAGCCGCTAACCTGTACGGCTACATCCTTTGTAAGATGGGCAGCGAGAGTGACGTCAGCAAACTGACAGCCAGTTTCCTGTCCCAGACGGTGTTCCAGACGGTGAGTCACTGAGGTCTGACTCCTGGACCTCTGCTTCCAGATGCTCAAAGGAAAGGAGGCCTGTTGGCAACTGCTGTGTTTTTTTTTGGTGAGGAAGACTGGTCCTGGGCTAACATCCCTGCCCATCTTCCTCTACTTTGTATGTGGGACGCCACCACAGCATGGCTTGATAAGCAGTGTATAGGTCCACGCCTGGGATCTGAACCTGCGAACCCTGGGCCGCTGAAGCAGAGTGCGCAAACTTAACCACTACACCACCCAGCCGGCCCCAGCAACCACCGTTTTTAATGTTTTCCAATATCAGCCAGGCTGCCACTGTTAGCTTTTTCTTTATTGTGGTAAAATACACATAACACGAAATTTACCATTTTAACCATTTTTAAGTGTACAGTTCAGTGGCATTAAGTACATTCACATTGTCATGCAACCATGAGCACCATCCATCTCCAGAACACTTTCATCTTCCCAAACTGAAACTCTGTACCCGTGAAACATCTACTCGCTGTTCCTAGCCCCCAGCTCCTGGCAATCACCATCTACTTTCTGTCCCTATAAATTTGACTACTCTAGGGCCCTCATATAAGTGGAATCACACCGTATTTGTCCTTTAGTGACTGCCATTGTTAAGTTTCAGGTGATTTTTCTTTTTGTGAGGAAGATCAGCCCTGAGCTAACATCCATGCCAATCCTCCTCTTGTTTTTGCTGAGGAAGACCAGCTCTGAGCTAACATTCGTGCCCATCTTCCTCCACTTTATATGGGACGCCCCCACAGTATGGCCTGACAAGTGGTGCCTCAGTGCGAGCCCGCGATCCGAACCCGGGCTGCCAGCAGCAGAGCGTGCGCACTTAACCGCTACGCCATGGGGCCGGCCCCTCAGGTGATTTTTAAAAACTATAGAATTAAGAACCACAAACAATTTTTGTTTGTTTTTTTAACCTAGCATATATTTCTAGAAGCGAGAAACATCTTTCAAATCTGACCAGGCTCATCCTCAAATGGTTTGAACCATCTTAAATTTGAACAGTTTTGCTTTTGCCAAGACATTGAGCAACCAGCTCTGCAGGCTTTTGGTGCATTGTGCGTTTGCTCTGGCCTTGAATCAGCAGAATCCGGCCACTCACGTGTGAGGACAGAAAGCCATGGTTGACTTTTCCCCTTGCAGGCCTGCCCAAGCGACTTTCAGAAGCCTGGCCTCGAAGGGCTGGAGATTCACAAGCACTAGGTAAGAGGCGGGATCAAGGCGGTGGTCTGGACAGCCCGGGGCTGGGGGGCTTGTGAAAAGTGCAGCTCCCCCAGCTCAGCTGTGCCTGTGGTCCGGGCGGCTCCCCCAGTGCCCTGAGTGGCCGGGTGTGTAGCAGGCGGAACCAGCCTGTGCTCCGGGCTTTCTCAGGGCTCTGCAGCCTCATCACCCTTTAGAGGAGGGGTCGCTCCTTCCCCACCCTGAACACGTGCAAATTTGCTGATATGCGCAGGTGTGAGAGAGACAAGGAAGGGAAAGGCGAGACTGGAGGGAAAGAACACGGGGACTGGCCCACCCTTCCACTTCTATGCCCGGAGGAAGAGGGAAAACAGGAATTTACTCTTCCCTCAGCTGGTCTCAGTTCCTGTGCATCTCACACACACAGTGAGCATCTCACGGCAGTGTGGATAATTCGAGAGTTTACATGTCTCTCCTTTTTATGTAATTATAAAAACCCTGTGAGCTGTCTGGCATGATGCTGAAATTACTGGATATAGTGTACACGTTACTATACGAGGTGCAGACACAGACCCCCAGTTCTGTTTACACGGGTGATTTAAGGGCTTTTCGAGGCTTTTTGACTACACCCAGCAGCATCTGCACCCTGAGAGCAAGCCCCAGCATGAGGCTCTATTGTTATTTTAATTTCTCCTTACTCTGAAGAATCACTATTTGGACTATGCTCTTTGAAACCGTGACTGTGTCTTTTGCAATGAAGCCACACAGTCCTCCCTTTGAGTCTTTTTCAGACTTATCTTTGGAGGCAGCAGTGGATTCACTGAGAGGTTCTGTAATCTCACAAGCTTCCAACAGAGGAGAATTCCGCAAGCCGCAACTCTTGGTTTTTCACAGGAAGAGGGCAAGAGGTTTGAGGAGACATTTTTATTTTTAAAATGGTACATTTGTAAAGAATGCCCTTTACATATGTTCTAAAGAAAAGTGTATGAATATTAGATGATTAAAGTGTCTGTGAAACAGTGACTTCACACATGCCAGAGTCTGGTCCCTTTCTGCCTGTGGCTCCCACTCTGTCCCCGAGCTGGTCAGGTCTGACTGGACATGCGGCTTGCCTCCTTACTGTTCTCCTGTCTCAGGAACTGGTGAGGGTCTCTTCTTTGGGCTGATGGAGACTACACAACTCCTGGATTTCTGGAAGACAAGATGGCAGCTCATGGCTCAGCAGTCTCTCAGGCAGCCCTGCCGGTGCTGGTGAGGCCGAGCCTAGACCGGGGCCGAATCCCCAGACGGCTTCATTCCCAAAAGGGCCTCGTTTCTGCCGACGCCCTGAAGCTTCCCAAGTGTCCTGAATACTGCCCGCTGCCCATGTGTGGTTGTGACCACAGATGGGAGACCTGACATGGGCCCATTCTACGGATCAAGAGTCCTGGGAATGAGGCTGTTTACCTTTGACACCACTGTACTAGGCAAAAAGAACTCAGCCACAAACCAAGCTTTAACTACTGACACCTCTGCCTTCCATTTGAGGCCTCCGACGGCTGCCCATTGGCTGAATTCAGCCTGCACGTGGGTTTGGTCTGGCTCACTGGGCTTTCTTTGTTTTTTTGTTTGTTAATAATTTCTTCTGACAGCTTTACTGTGATGTATTCCTGTACCATAAAATTCACCGTCACAGTGCTTTTTAAACGATGACTTAGTTCACAGTGTTGACACACTGGGAGATTTCTCATAGACTGCCGGCCTCCTGGGCTGAGGGGGTCAGCCCAGACCCCACTACCCCTACTGTCCCCACCCGAGGCTGCATGGCAGTGACCACTATGATCCTAAATGGGATCTTTGGCACCCAGCCCACTTCACTCGTTTAGATCACTTTCTGGCCCCGGCGCCATGTGAATTCACAAGATTCGCATACACACTTACTTTGAATTATACTTCTGTAGGCTAACGTGGCTGGTGAATCCGGTGCGTCAATCATAAAAGACTGTCCTTTGTCGCAACTCTTACCTTAAAGAAACAAATGAAAAAAAGCAAATCCACGAGGAAAACACAGTGGCAACGTGACCTTGGGGCTCCTTCTGTGCCTGTGACATTATGGAGATCTGGATGGTGATTATGTCACTCATAATGAAGAACAAAGCCAGAAAGAACATCAGGGGTCTCTGGGATTGCACTCGCCTCCCCTCCATCCAGCAGGGCCCCTGACTAGCATCTCAACACGGCTTGGAGCCATGCCTGGCCGACAGCCGTTAGTGTGTGTGCCTACGAATCATCTGGGTGGGGCGAGGTGTGTGTGTGGCAAATGCAGGTTCCAGGGCCTCCAAAAGAACAATTCAGCAGCTCCAGGGTGGGCCCAGGAACCTTTAAAAGATTAGTTCTTTGAGTAAAAAGATAATGAATGCACATGGTAAAAAAAAGTACAGAATACAAGAGGTTGTACCATGAAAAGCGAGTCCAAGAGAGGCTACCAGTGTTCAGATGTCTTTCTAGAAATATTATAGGCATATAAATGTGGCACATACACACACACACACACTCATAGACTTAACACACAAGAACGAATGTGAGCACACAACACACACCCTGCCTGTTGCTTTTTCTGTGTAGAATTTTATCTAGAAGGTCATTCCACGTGGGCATCGAGCCCTCTCACCCCCTTTCCCACTTCCTTGGGGCAGGCCTTCCCCAGGCTGCGCTCTCAGCCCTCCCCTCTCTGCACCCCGGCCCCCGCAACCTCGCCTGGATGGGCATGTCCACTGCTGACCCCTCCCGGGGCTGCTGACAAACCCGAGGCCTCCCCGCCTCTAGACCCAGTACCAAGAGGAAACTCGGCTCTCCCCGACGCACCTCCCACGTTCAGTTTCCGAGTGACGTCCCCATCTTCCAGATGGCTCATGCAGGACAGCATGGACATCTCGGACAGCTCTTCCTTCCCAACTGCCAAATCCTGTCCCGTTCTGTCCTGTGTATGTCCCTTGCTCTCTGTGCCAACGCCCAGGCCCTGGGCAAGTCCCCACCTGCCCTCCAGGGCAGTGGCCCACAGGCCTCTTCTCTAAACACACACCCCGGCCCATGCTCAAAAGTCTCACAGTCTCTTGTTTCCTAACGAATGGAGCCCGAGCCCCGAGGCGTGGCTGCACAGCCGTCCACAGCTGGGCTCCACACTCTCTCAGCCTCTCCCTCTTGCCTTCCCTCGGGCCCAGGCACCTCCGCTAACCTAACTGCCCCACTTCCTTGTGGATGGGGTCACGTCACAGGCATCTCTAACTTAAGCAAGTTCAACTGTTATCTTGGGGAAACAAAACTTCGGAGGCGGGGTATAATTTAAGGAGTGTGGGTGGCCCTCCACACTGTTCGACTCCGCAAGCCGATGCCCTGGAGTCAGGATGGGATGGAGACGGGGTCGGCCACCCCGCCTTCAGCCCTGCTGCTGCTCACGGAGCAAGCGTCTCGAGGGTCCTGGGGGACTCTGGGACTTAACGAGGGGTGTTCTTCCCGCAGCGTGGCCCTGAAGGCAGGCCGATGGCTTCAGCTCTTGCTCACTGAGAGAAACGTGGCCGTCAGCGCTGGACAGGAAGGGGGCTGTGCTGGGCTCCCCACGGGGCAGGACGTGGGGCATCTTCTACGGGGTTTTCAAGGCTAGTTTTGTTCGTGACTTTGACGTCAGCGCCTGACTCCTGTGTAAGATGGGACTCCGCTGCGCACCCCTGGCACCCTCCCCAGGTCCCCCCCTTCCTGTCCCCTCTCCTTGGCACGTTCCTTTCCTAGTGCCCCCATGCCGGCATGCCCCTGACCCATCTCCACTCCGCTCTTCCCGGCCCAGCCCAGCCACGCCCGCCTCACTGGCTCCCGTGGCCACGTGCCAGCGTGGTTCACTGGTGTCAGGGCCCCACGCAGCGATGGAGGGGCGGGATCGGGGCCTTGAGACTCACCCACCTATGTGTGGGTCCAGAGGCACTCTGCCCAGGAGAGGGATCTGCAGATCCTGGCACATGACCTCCGCGCCCCCCGTCGTCGGCGGGAAGATCTGAGACTCTTTCTGAGGAGAATCAAAGTGGGGAGGAATCATGATCTTGTTTCAGAATCGTAAGAATGGACCACATTTTTTAAAAACTTCTAAAAGATGGCTATTTTGATTGTGAAACACTACCAAAAGGATTTTCACGACATCAGCAACAGAGGATTTTAATTGTGAGTCCACTTCCCGAAATGGTGGGGAAAGCAGAAATGGTTTCACAGAGAATCATTCCTATTGTTTCCTCCACCACGGAGGACAGATTTGGTTGGACGACCCGACGCGCGCTCACCTTACAGTTGGGGCAGACGAAGCCGCTCATGTTCTCCACCACCCCGAGCACGGGCAGCCTCACCTTGCGGCAGAAGCTGATTTCTTTCCGGACATCCTGGAGCGACACCTCCTACACAGTTTCAAAGACTGGTTATTTCCAAGTGAAAGTATAAGAAAGGGAATGTGTGCATGGTTGAGGGGACACGTGCAATGCAGTGGATTTACCATTATAAGGCCTTAGAGATTCCTGCCATTTATTCACTAAATATTTATTTAGTGCCGACCAAGTGCTAAGCTGTGTTCTAGGGGGTATTTATTTCCCACAAAACCCTGAACGGATAAACCTGAACAGCCACATATCAAACGTACGATGAATCTACAGAAGTGACCTTTAACACCTCTCAATGTTCTGCTCTCTCGTCAACGGAGCCAAGTGTACACTACCTTCTAGGTCAGGACGGCGAATGACGGCCCGCGAGCTCATTCTGGCTGGCTGCCTGTTTTTGTAAACAAAGTTCTGGAACGCACCATGTGTTCCTTTACATACTGTCTCTGGCCGCCCTCGTCCTACAGTGGTACAGCTGAGTGGTTGTGCAAGAGGCCGTATGACTGGCAAAGCTCAAAACACTTACTCTCTGGCCCTTTACAGAAAAAGTCTGCTGAGCCCTGACCTCGGTTATCACGAACACAAATAACTTCATGGCCAAATTCAAATTCACTTCTGAACTCTGCTTGTTCGACAGTGTGAGTACTGTGCATGATCATCGCTCAGTCCCCTCCCTGTCCTGGCCGTGTAACATGGTGGCAGACACGTGTCCAAGGACTGGTCTAGCGTGCTGTCATCAAGTATGGCTACCCCTTGGCCTCTGTGGCTTTAACAGTCAAGGGCTCCCAAAGGCTCACGGCTTCAGTCACCTCTTTCTCTTCTGAGGCACACATCTGGCTCTTGCCTCTTTTTTTTTTTTTTTTTTGCAGGGAAAGATTCGCCCTGAGCTAACGTCTGTTGCCAATCTTCCTCTTATTTTTTTTCTCCTCCCCAAAGCCCCAGTGCATGGTTGTATACGCTAGTTGGAAGTCCTTCTAGTTTTTCTATGTGAGGCACTGCCACAGCATGGCAAGTGACAGACGAGTGGTGTGGTTCCACAACCAGGAAATGAACTCGGGCCACCAAAGTGGCGAGAGCGCTGAACTTTCAGGGCTGGCTCTGGCTTTGGCCTGAGGCTGGTACAGACAAAAAGGCTAGAAAGTCAACCGGCTGTTACTTAGTCTCGGCATCTCATTGCACCTCTGGGGTTCTCTCCTTGTGTCCTGTAAATAAAAGCCCTGCCACTTTGTCAACGATGACCCCAAAAGAAAGCCACTTGCCCATGTCAGTGCTGAATGTGAAAGGCTCTGAGAAGGTGGGTGTCTAGCGTGAAATCACATTTTCCAGAGAAGTTACACACAAAGGACACAAATGTGGAGCATCCCTCCGTGGCTCCCTGGGGAAGGGCCAGCACTTGCTCCTTCTGTCCCCTCTTCTGAACCCCAGGGGGACTCCATGTTTTCTCTCACAATAAATATGGTACTGGAGAAGCTGTCTTCATGCCAGCGACATTTTTGTTGTTGTTCTGGTTTCTTAATAGACTTGACTTTTAGAGCAGTTTTAGATCCACAGCGAAATTGAGCAGCAAGTACAGAGAGTTCCCAAATGCCCCTCGCCCCCCTACAAAAAACCTCCCCTACTATCAACATCCGCATCAGAGTGGTACATTCCAAGAAGGCTGTTTTCCTTTTAGGTAATTTCTCTGGGACCTACTCTTGATAGTACTGCTGGTCTAGGGTGGACCCCAACTGTTTTATTTATTTATTTATTTATTTATTTGTTTGTTTGTTTGTTTGTTTGTTTTTCCCAAAGCCCCAGTAGATAGTTGTATGTCATAGTTGCACATCCTTCTAGTTTCTGTATGTGGGATGCGGCCTCAGCATGGCCGGAGAAGCGGTGCGTCGGTGCGAGCCCGGGATCCGAACCCGGGCCGCCAGCATCAGAGCGCACGCACTTAACCACTAAGCCACGGGGCCGGCCCCCCCAACTGCTTTTTAAAAATTCAACAGAAGACATTCCTAAGGACACACCCATCTTCTTTCCACCGCCATGCCCTAGGCCAGCCCCCTCCACCTTCTAGCCACCGAAGTGGCATCCTGCTCCTCCCCCTCGCCAAGGTCCCTCTCCACAGGGCACCAGAGTGATCTGAGCCACGAATCTGTCACACCACTCCCTGACCCAGGCACCCTCATAGGCTGTGCCTGTCACGCCGTCGATGCAGCATCATGTGTGTGCCCGCGTGTCACCACACAGGCCAGACCGGTCTGTTGTACTCCCCTGGAGCCCGGCCAGGGCCTGCACTTAGCAGGGGCTCAGTGAGGGGTCGTCCTGGCTGATTCAGAGACAGACCAACACACACCGCCTTGATTCTGCTTTCTTAGGAGTGGAGAAGTACACCACGAGGAGAAGTATAACTGAAGGGAACGATCTGTTGGTTTTTTGGGACCCCTTAAGATCCACAGTGATAATACTAAAGCGCATCGTAGACCTGACTGCTGGATCTACTCAAGACGATACTCACCACTGCTCTCTCCTCAGTTCAGGTTCAACACGGCCTCCTGGCCCAGCCTCTGTGTGACTAGGATAGAAGGAGCTGGGCATTGCCAAGGAAGGGGCAAGGAACACAGCAGCTTATCCAGAAATCCCTGTCTACACCCAAGCCCTGTTCTGTGGGAAACTAGGGAGATTTCCTCATCGTTCTGAAATGCCAATGGAACAAGCACGGCAGACTGTGGGGACGCGATGCATGAGCACAGGAAAGGAGATGTATCCATGAGGAACAGTATGAGTTATTACAGCACCAACGGTCTCACTGGCTTCGTGAAGGGAAATTTAAAATTTTGAACCACTATTGTTTAATTTGTGGACAAAAAAAAATGTGGGATGCTGATTTGTCAACTGCAAATGCCTGGACCAGAGATAAATCCAAATCAGGGTGTGCTGCGGAGCACGTGTTCTGAGGAGCTGCTTCGAGACTAGGATCTCGGAGCTGAGGGAAAAAGAAACCTTTTGTCACGGCGCAGTCTGGGCCTGGCTCCATCCGGGCATCGCTCACCTGAGGAGTGGTGATGATCACTGCCCCGTCGATGCGTGCCGCTGCCAGGTACTGGACGACCGAGAGGTGTTCATCCGATGTCCCAGGCGGGGTGTCCACGATGAGGTAGTCGACCTCCCCCCAGTCCACGTCGCGAAGGAACTGCTTGATCATGCCTGGAAGGAGAAATCCTGGGGGTGCCTCTCCTCTTTCCCTGTTCTATACTTGTGCCACTCTTTACAGATGCACAGTCTGTGGTCTTTATGTACATGTGGCCCACGATCTAACTCGGTGGCATTCGGCAGTGTCTGGAGACACTTCGGTTGTCACGACTAGGGACACCTCCTCTAACAAAGAATTATCTGACCCAAAACGTCAGGAGTGCCCAGGCTGAGGGCACTAAATGACACCTGCCTCGTTACCTGGAGCCTCAGTGCCCAATCAACCTGGTATCGATTTCCCCTCACACACTTCTCTCTCTGACACAAAGAAGCCACTACAAAACCACAATAAGAATAACTGCAGTTCGGGCCGGCCCGGTGGCATAGCGGTTAAGTTCACACGCTCCACTGTGGCAGCCTGGGGTTCGCAGGTTCGGATCCCGGGCGCGCACCGACGCACCGCTTGTCAAGCCATGCTGTGGCGACGTCCCGTATAAAGTAGAGGAAGATGGGCACGGATGTTAGCCCAGGGCCAGTCTTCCTCAGCTAAAAGAGGAGGATTGGCAACGGATGTTAGCTCAGGGCTGATCTCCTCACCAAAAAAAGATAATAATAATTTCAGGGTTACCTAGGTTTAAGGAGAGAAAAACTCATAATAGATATTAAAAATTACAAAAAGAAAACTGATATTTCTATTAGCTCTCTTCAACCAGTAAAGGAGGCAACCAGATGCTTAAAAATAATACTCTACAAAGCCCTGCAGGATGACTGTTGCCATCCTGACAGGACAGGATGTGAGGAGACCCAGAGCAATCCTTGGAAGAACGTGATAAAAGGCAGGGTGGCAAACCGTTTTTCTTTGGTCCCCTCCAGATAACGGCGTCGTCGGGACTGCTGAGCAAGAAACCCACCGACATCACCCCCAGGTTGTCTTCCAGGAACTGCAGAGGACGAAGCAAGAAACATTTTTACTTAAAACCACAGTGCAAGGCACTTCCCCTATGTCTTCTGTCTGAGCTCTGGCTGAAAAAACCATTACAAGGCCAAAATGACGATGTGATCTACGAGTATACTCACTCTTTGAATCCTCAAATCATTTTTGGAAAAAAAAAAACAGCGTTAGCATATTGGGGAAATTTGCAAGAGGCACCGTATGGCCCTACACTGCCATGACGGTACATTCGGCTGAAATAAACGAGTATCATCTCCTTACCTGTCTTAACCTGGGTTGGCCAAATCTGGCCCACCTTCTGTTTTTGTACGTAACGTTTTACTGGAACGTAGCCACGGTCCTTCATTTACCTGGTACTACTTATGAGCTCCAACCACGGAGCCTGTATGGCCCACAAACTAAAAATAGTTACTGATGACCCTTTACAGAAAAAGTTAGCCAATCTCTGGTCTTAATTGTATTCCTTGGGCTTGAAAAGTGCCTCAATAAATACTGGTTAACTGATACATAAGCAGGTTGAGAAAAATGTTGCCAACCCACCACATATCCACTAGGTACACATGACCCAAACACACTAGCTTGAAAATAAGGCAAAGAGGTGAAAACTCACCACTGGAGACCAGCCCGAGCCACTCTGGTGAACCTGCGTGAACAGGAGCACGGACATTCACTTGTAAATTACACACACTTCACCCACAGGAAAATTTTACGCAATAAGAATATAGTTTTATAAAATGCAATTCATCATCTTATATGCTTAAATTCTCAATAGGGAGGGAACAGCTGGTGGGGAGCAATGGATGATATAATTCAATACCCTCTCCCTCCCAGGGTGGGTTATTGGGAAACTCTGCTTAGACTACTCAGGGAACCAAAGTTACCTGAATTCAAATATAATTTCGGGTCTGAGGTATTTTAAAGGTGTGACAGAAATCAGTGGGGGTTGTTGAGAAAATGCAGGTAACTGTGGAGCAGCGAGGCTGCCCCTGTGAACGTCCAGGAGGGAAGGAGTTACCTTTAGTGAAACAGGTGACACACAGCCTGCCCGCCAGCGGCCTGAGCCTCACCTCTGACCTGCTGCCCTCGCAGGGGCAGGCTCTGGGGGGAGGGGTGTCAGCGGGAAGCCCACCGGGGCTCCTTCGGCAGGTGTTCATCAATAGCCAGGGTTCAGCTCTGCACCACCTCTTATTAGGAAACTAGAACTTACGCAACTTCCAATCACACATCAATCTTAGAAATCGTACTTTAGAGCAACGCACGAGCCAAAATAGAAAGTCTGTTTCTCTTGATTAAGTCTTACTTTTTTAAACAGCTCTACTGAGATATAATTCACATACGACACAATTCACCCATTTAAAGTGTACAATTCAGTGGCTTTCAGGACATTCGGAGTTGTACAGCCGTCACCACAATCGATTTGAGAACATTTTCATTCCTCTAAGAAGACTCCCTGCACCCCTCCACTGTCATCTCCACTCCCTCCACTCCCCCCCAGTCCTAGGTGACCACCATCTACTCTCTGTCTCTACAGCCGTGCCTGTTCTAGGCATCTCAGAGAAATACAATCACATAATATGTGGTCTTTGGTGACTGGCTCTTATGTCTTACTTTTTTAAAAAACCCACTCATTTCTATTTATATGCGTTCTCTAAGCTGGAGGTCTTAAAACAGGGGTAAACGTGATGACCCAACAGTGTAGGAGAAGAAAATAGTGGAAATTCTGTTTTCTCTTTCCATTTAAAAATTTCGATTTTCATAAACTGCTTGTGCACTGGTACAGTAAGTAGTACACCTACCTCACGTACAGGTAAACAGATGTACGCCCACACGGGGGCGCGAGCCACAAAGCTTGTCACCCGTGGGCATGTGATCGCAGATGTGGGATCCGCAGCTCGACCAGGACCCTGGAGGGCGTCACGCCCCTTCCCAGCTCCCTCAGAAGCAAACCCCAATCCCCAACAGGGCCCTCTCTGCCTCTGGCTACTCTCCAGCTACCCTCCCCTTGTCACTCTGCCCCAGCCCCGCTGGCCACTTTGCTGAGGACCTGAGGACACTGCTTCAGGGTTTCTGCACTTGCTCCCTCAGCCCAGAAGGCTCTTCCCCGGCTTTCCGCAGTGGGGTGCTCCTGACCGCAGCACCCCTGCCCGGCCTGTCTGTCCCCTCACCATGCTTTAGTTTCCTGTTATCTATCCTCTGCCCCCTCCCACGAGGGCCGGGGTCTTGATCTGCCTTGGTCGCCACTGCACCCCAGCACCAGGAAGAGCGCCGGCACGTCAGTAAAGAATGAACCAGTCTGGACCCCCTGGAACCACCTAGCCCTCCAGCCCAGCTTCAACATCCCGCCCCTGGGGGGACCTTTGCTTGGACTGCCTTGCCCTCCGGAGGGAGACCCGGCAGCTGTGCGGACTATGGCGGCCCTGCCCCCACACTGCGTCACTGGCCTGCCTCGCAGTCTCACTTCCCCAGGGGTGACCACAAGGGCAGAAACATTCCCTGGCTTCCAGGGTACAGACCCTAGCAAACACTGGCCTAGCTTTCCCAGTCAGAGCTAAGTTTCCGTGTCTTACTTCTGCATTTTACTTACTGTTTCCCTTCCTCTCTG